AAAGACTCAATTGGAACTTGTGGAATAGCAGATGATAAACATATTTTTTTCTCTTTTTTCATATCTTGAATAGGTAAGTTTTCAGGAATATCTTCTTCCATCATTAGTTCAGTTTGAACTTTCTTCTGTTTAAAAGGCATATCGTTCAAATATTTGTTTTTTATTTGATCGCCACATTTCATACATTTTGCAATGTGCTCAGTCATTCGAGTGCCATTTTTTGATAGCTTTAAGCTGCAAAATTTGCATATAACTTGTTAAATTTTAGAACCTCCAGATTCTAAAGGTGCCTCATTGAACAATGTAGCTACAAAACATTTCTTTCTGCCTGGCATATTTTTTTTTAGATTTCTTTTTTTTTTTTTAATTAAAAATAATTAATAGATTACAAATTGTTTAATATAAATGTTTTTTCATTAGACAAAGTTAATCATTGTGTTATTTTTATTTACTTGAATATTGTTTGAATAAATAAAATTTTAGCTATCTAATTGCAATTTAAAATAAAATAAAGAAATTAAATATTAAAAATTTAAAAAAGTAATATACAAAAGTAAATAAAACATTAAAGTAAATTTTATTTAACAGTTGGTTCATTTTTGTATTTTGCAATGCAGTGTTATTTCATTCATTTTTATGAATGAAATAACACTGCTAAAATAACATTTTTATTTCCTTCATTCAGTAGTATTATACTTACAATCAACTAGTAGCTAATAGTATAGTTTTTTTGAGATTTATTTAAAAAATTACTTTTTTAAATATTTAACACTGTTTTTTTTTAATATTGGTGATTAGTTTGTAACATGTATATAGAAGTTTATTACTATTAACTTTAGAATTATAATAATGCAGCCTCACAAAGGTGAGGCTGCATTATTAGCCTACAAAAAAAAAGAATCAGATAACAATGCAATAGTTGGTATTCGAAAAGAAGTTGCAGGCAATAATGAAATGCAAATATATATATATATATATATATATATATATATATATATATATATATATATATATATATATATATATATATATATATTAAAAATATATATATATTAAATATATATATATATATATATATATATATATATATTAAAAATATATATATATTAAATATATATATATATATATATATATATATATATATATATATATTAAAAAAATATATATATATGTGTGCTTTTTAGCTGCCATTAAAAGAGCCTTATCATTCTTCATTGGGCAGGGGTAGAGCAGGGCCTTTTCAGCATTTCAATAACCTTTAATAAATTATGGTATATTCAAAGGTTTTACCCAAAGAGCTTTTGCATTATGCAACAAGAAACATTTAAATCAAGAATTAGAGTTTCATATGGAAATGTTTACAGAAAATGGTTATAATCGAAAAATATTTTAAAACATTGTCAAAAAATAAATTAAAAAAAAACAACAAGCAAAACAATCAACAAAACAACATCAAAAACTAAAATTTAATTATTTTTCTATACCATGGGTACCAAAATTAAGTATTCAATTAAAAAAGATATTTGAAAATGCGGGGTATACTCTAGTTTTCAAATCATTTCATCATCAAATCACGACTTCCCAACCACTTTTATCCTGGATCCTATGAACTAGAGTGTCATGTGGAAAACTTTATGTGGAGGAAACAAAGCCCAACATGCATTGACCAACATCAAAAATACATTTAAAGGAAAATAAAAAAATTCAGCCATGGGGGAGAATTCAAGAAATGGCTATGGTGCCTTAGGCACCATGAATTAAATATATATATGTATATATATATATATGTATATATATACATTATATATATATACATTATATATACTTTATATATATATACTTTATATATATATATATATATATATATATATATATATATATATATATATATATATATATATATATATATATATATATATATATATATATATATATATATGTATATATATATATATATATATATATACATATACATCTATTAAATGGATTTACAAAAAATAAAGTATTTATGTTTAAAAAATATTTTTCACTACCTCATCAGAATCTTTTTCTATGATTACATTATCAGTCTTATCTTTTGAAACACAACTGTCTTGAACTATAGTATCCCCAAATACTGTTTGTGCCAGCTGAGATATTCTCTTGTATTTACCATCACCTAAAACCATCATATACAAATAAAATTTCAAAATTCTAAATTCTATGGAAGTTTTTCATTATTAACTTTTTTTTTTTGAATAAAATAAAAATTCAAAATAAAAATGCTATAATTACATTAAAGCACTTAAAAAATAAAATTTGTAAAAAACACATACAGTAAATTACATTTCAATAAATGATAATAGTTTATTGAAAAAAGATTGTAAAAAAATAAATTCATAAACAGAACATTTTTAGAAATCTTATTTGAAACTCTTAAAAATTACAAATATTAAAAAAATAATCTTTTTGTAATCGTTATTTTGTATTTAACTTTTATTTATCAAAAAAATACAAAAAATGGAATTTATTATAAGATACAAAAATTACCTTGGGTAGGTGTTATATCATCAGAAAAATTGTGCATTTCATTATTGCCTGCAACTTCTTTTCGAATACCAACTATTGCATTGTTATCTGATTCTTTTTTTTTGTAGGCTAATAATGCAGCCTCACCTTTGTCTAAATTCTAAAGTTAATAGTAATAAACTTCTATATACATACATACATACATACATACATACATACATACATACATACATACATACATACATACATACATACATACATACATACATACATACATACATACATAGATATATATATATATATATATATATATATATAGTATATATATATATATATATATATATATATATATATATATATATATATATATATATATATATGACAATTAGTCACAAGATTAGATAGTCTAGAAGCATACAATAGCTTTTTGTATTAACCCAGATTCTTTGGAGTGCAAAATAGTAAAACATAAAAATTTACTTGTTCAGATAGCTGTAGTTTTGTTTCTAATTATCTTGTATTTGGTACGACTAATAAGTTCTTTTCTTTATTAAAGTGGTCAAAATTTTTATTATTGAATCATAAGGGTAAATTTAAAGGTAAACTAAAATATTTTTCAGTTACAGTTCAGTTTCTTAAACGCGTTTAATAAACTGAAGTGGAACTGAAATCTATTGTTGTGCATCTAGATTTATTATGCCAGGAGCAAACTGCTCAATATATGGCTGTGGTAGTAGCAGATATATAAAACAAGGAGAAAATCTAATTAGTTTTTTTAATTTTCTAAACCCAAATAAAAGCAAACTTTTCTCAAATAAAGAAATATTAAGAATCATTACAAAACGATAGAGTCAGATCCCTAGATTTTAAAAACCAATAAGAATAGTATTTTTATATGTGAAAAGCATTTTGAAAGTTCAGATATACACACCTGTAAGTTTGCTAAACAATTGTTGATATTTATTGAGTCTGGATTACATTATATATAATAATTTTATAATATTTTAAATTACAGATAATAAAACAAATATTATTTAATAAATATTTTAAAATTATTTTCCAGATCAACGCAAAAAAGAGTTGAAAGAATACACACTTCCAACAGAAAACTTACCAAAAGAATACACACTTCCAACAGAAAACTTACCAAAAGAATACACACTTCCAACAGAAAACTTACCAAAAAAAAGTTTAAACATGCTATAGCTTCAGGATTACAAGAAAAGAAAGAAGTAGATAAAAAACTAGTTTATCTTAAAAAAATAAAACTAGTTTCACTTTCTAAGTGGATTGAAGAAATTTCAAAAAACTATATGGCATTTAAGAACAGAACTTGAGCTACATGTAGATGAGAGTCTAGCTTATACCATTTGAGCTTATGCTTGACTTTCACCACTCATTTCTAAGAGTAATTTACAATCTGTAAGATACACCATAGTATCACAGTTTCTCAATTATATCAAAAGTTTATATCTATGCAATCAAATACCATCAAATGAAAAAAAAAAAATTTTCGCTTGTAAAAAGACATGTTGTTGGCAAACTATTTTCAATTGATTACATAAATAAAAGATGTGATGATGATTTTGTTTTTACAAATAAAACGGTGTATTTAAGATCTCCAATAGACAGGTTGCTTTGTTTACATTCTAAAGCGCGCAAAAAACGACAGGCAAAACATTTGATCTAAAGCTAAGTAAAAGTTATGGTGTGAAGTTTGTACAAGTAAACTATGTGAATAAAAAGTCTCACAAAGTGGAACCAGCACAATAAAATATGTCAAAATTTGTTAACCAGTATCAAAAAATACTTTGCCAATTTTTAAAAGTAAAAGAAATTTAAAATTAACAGGATATACTTCTATTAATCTATACTTCATCAATCCAGCGAAGTTATATAAAAACTGAGAATTCGTATCAAAATTTACATAAATTAGCATCAAAAGCTGTTGTTTTAAAAATCATTAGTTGGTAAATCGATGAAAAGGAGAACTTTAATGAAACAGACAGTACATTTGAAAATGAGTTTTACTTTATTTCTAAAGATCAGGCTGAACTAATTAATATTATAAACTAATACCAATTAATAACATTAATAACATAACCAACCAATTAATAACATAAATTAAGATCAAAAGCTGTTGTTTTTAAAATTATTAGTTGGTAAATTGATGAAATAGAGAACTGTAATGAAACAGACGCTGCATATGAAAATGAGTTTTACTTTACTCCTAAAGTTCAGGCTGAACCAATTACTGTTATTAACGAAAGCCAAGATAAAATTACAGAAAATTCAAAAGTTTCATTCAAATTGTTAATGAATTCTCATCAAAGTTAACTTAATACAATAGAAAATTTGTCTAAAACTTAAAGGAAAAACACTTCTTGAAAAATTCGCAGGCCTGGACTTCATCTGTTTATAAAATACTGAATCTGTTTATAAAATGGGGTACAATGTAAATATTGGTAACCCCTCACAAGTCTTTATAAGTCAAATGATGTAATATTTTAAAATTGTTTGCTATATTCCAAAAGAATATAATCTTAAAATTATAAGTATTGCAAAATATAAACTTTTGAATGCAATGTCTCCACAATCACTGGTTTGTACATTAATGTTGATTATCCTTAGTGCAAGTCAAGATAAAATTAAAAAAATGAAATTGTCATGGAACGGGTATTTTTTAAATGAGATTCTCTTTAATTATAGAAACAGCTTAGAGTTGTGGAAAAATGACCAAAATTATCCACTTAATAAAAATGGTCTAATTAAAACTAATCACAAGAATTACTATCAAATACAACAACAAACGATGGTAACAAAAACAAAATATTATCTGTCGAAGTAATGGAAACATGACAAATGATAAACTCTGTATCTTTAAAAACAAACTTAAAACAGTTTTTAAAGAAATTACATTTTACAAATTGAATCCAAATCAACTACAGCTGTTTTGCGTGTGTAAATTTTCATTGTCCAGTCAAATGGTATCATTACCACTGTCTTCAAATAAAAAATGGTTTTTCTTTACCTGCATTTTGCAGGATAAAGACAATATAATAAGCTTTTGTGTAACACTACTAAATAAAGTTTAACTTCTTTTTAAATTGGAAAACATCTTTTATGATTTGTTGACAAACCTTTTGTAATAAAACATTTTATAAACGTTGTTAATACTTAAATTTTTTAAAATATTGTAGATAAAAAATATATATATAAATTTTAGTTGAATTACATTTAAATTATTTTTTAACTTTCATTTGAAACAGACTTATAAATAGCTAAAAAGTTTGATATGCAAATTTAGGGACTCACGACAAACATGTAATCGTATTCAAATGTAATTGCAATTACATTTAATTATTAAAAAAGATTTATTTATATATATATATATAGTATATATATATATATATATATATATATATATATATATATATATATATATATATATATGTATATATAAATATACATATATTTCATGGCCTTCTATAATAACAGGCCTTGACATCGCGCTATAAAGTTGCCAGACTAGAGGCCGATTTATAATACTGTGTTTACATTTCCTCTTTTAACTTTACAAAAAAAGATTTAGTTTGCGCTTTTAGAGCAGATTTTTCAAATTCGATTGGTTAGGTTTGGTTAGAGCGCAACTTTAAGACGTAAAAGTTAACTTCATAACACTGGCTTGAGTATTTTTAAACTCATATAATTATTTGAGTAGTAGTAGAAGATGCCTTTAAAATGCTGCATACCTCTCTGCAAGTCAAACTATCACTCGACTGAATCAAAAATATCGATATATAAATTCCCAAAAAATCCAGAGGAAAGAAAAAAATGGAGAGATGTCATCCCAAGAGCAAATTTCTCTATTTCTGACTATACAGCAGTATGTCGACTGCATTGGCCTGATGATGCACCTTTTGAAACCAAGTATGGAAAACAACAACCATTAAACCCACCATCTGTTTTTAAAAATATTCCGCCTAGTTGTTTACCAACACCATCGAATAAAGTCAGAAAAACTGTAACTTCAAGAGGATTTCGAAATGTCTTTCCAGACGAGTTTAATGTTTTTCTAAAAGACGATGAAATTTCATTTGCTGAAATTCAATCTATTTTCATTAATAGCAATGATGTTATTGTTTTTCAATTTAACAAAAATAGTGTGCATATACAGTCAAAAATGTACAAACTTGGAGTTCCATTGTTTCTTTTGGAAATTTTCGATAATTATTCATTCACAGCTTACCATAATGGCACAACTTGCAATATCTCATCTTTAACTGCAAACAATTTAAAATTAATAAAAACAAGATCTGCTTTATTTGAAGCAGTTAGATTTTTAAAACATAAAGAGAGTTCTCATCAATCTAATATTCTATTTGAGCACCTTAATGTGATGAGAAAAGTTAGTGTTGGTGAAGTATTATATACTCCAGATATTATATGTAGAGCGTATGAGTATTTTGCTATGCGACGTAGTTTATATGATCGTTTGTGTGTTGACTACAAGTTGCCCAGTATACGCACTTTAACACGACTGACCTCAAAAATTAGTTCTATGGAGGACCTAAACTTCATAAATAGTATCTTTATGAATTTAGATCCATTAAAAAGAACTTCCATTATTTTAATTGATGAAGTTTATATATAAGCTTCATTACTTTACCAAAGAGGCGCGTTGTTTGGTCATTCAGTAAACTACCCAGAGAGGCTAGCAACAACAATTTTATCATTTATGATTAAATGTCTTTTTGGAGGACCAGAACTTATATGTAGAGCTCAACCAGTTTCAAATCTTTCCGCTGAATTTCAATTCGCACAATGTCAACAAATTCTTGATGCAATAAATATTATTGAAAACAGTAAGACACTTGCAATCATCACTGATGGTAACCGGGTAAATCAACGATTTTTCAGAACATTTAAAACATTTGAAAGTAAACCATGGTTAACAACATCAGGTACATATTTATTGTATGACTATGTCCATCTCCTAAAATGTATACAAAATAATTGGTTGACAGAGAAGACTGGTCAACTTTGTTTTTTGCACAATGGGGAACTGACCTTGGCCAAGTGGAGTGATTTGGAAACCTTGTATAAAACTGAATCTATTAGCCTTTTAAAACTTTCTAAACTAACAGCTAAATCAGTTTA